GGAGTACCATTTTTTGCAGATCTGAGCTTATTCAGCAGCTGTTGCTGTGTAGACATAGCATGGGCTCTGTTCTCTCTGGTGAAGATGTTTGGCCATCAGGGAAAGATGACCAAGGAGAATGTCACAACTCCACAGGTACAAGTACCATCAGTTGGTTTAGATTTAGCAGGATTGCAGATTTCTATTTAAATTTGAGCTTTTTAATTTCAACAAACTAAATTTCCTGCAGTCCTTCCTTCTTGCCAGTCCTGATGGTCCACTGTCAAAGCTGACACGGCACCAATCCCAGTCTTAGGAATGTTTCGTGTGGATTTGATACTCAATTGCTCCTTAAAGTGTGTCTAGAAAATTAATTGCACAAGATGTACAGTAGTCAGCAGACTGTAACACTTCTGTAGAATGGATGAGAACTGATCTCTCTCCAAGAAAAAAAATCCTGTTCCCATGTTGCTGTTAGCAGGTCTTTCCCCTGGTGAACTCCATCGGTCTGAACGAGCAGGAGCTGCTCTTCCTCACGCAGTCAGCCTCTGGTCCCCACGCCTCCCTGGCTTCCTGGAACGGCGTCCCCGACGTGGGTGCCGTCAGCGACATCCTCTTCTGGATCCTGAAGGAGCACGGGAAGACTGCGGACCGGGCCTCGGATCTCACACGGATCCACTTCCACACGCTGGCCTACCACATCCTCGCCACAGTGGACGGGCACTGGGGCAACCAGGTGGCTGCCGTGGCTGCCGGCGCCAGAGCGGCAGGGGCGCAGGCCTGCGCGACAGAAACCATCGATACTAGCAGGGTCTTTCTTAAAGCTCCTCTGGAGTTTGTCACCTCCCAGATAGAGGCTCCTTCCAAAATATCCTTAAATCCAGACGAGCCAGTGGTGCATTGGCACAGAGAAGGCATCTCCTTCCATTTCACGCCTGTTCTGGTGTGCAAAGATCCCGTGCGGACCGTGGGGCTCGGGGATGCTATCTCAGCTGAAGGACTGCTATATTCAGAAATAAATCTTCAGTAGAAGACTGAGGTCCCCTTTGTCTCCAGTACTGTACGGTGTCTGAGGAACCGTGCTGTTATCACTAGGATTTCAGCCGGCGCTGATATAGGAACAGAGTCAGGGTGCAGTGTGTTTTCTGGGTATAACAGAAGAGCCAAAGAACAATTCCAGGTGTAAACCGTCAGATACATTCCAGTCGCTTTGCAGTGGCTAGAACACCTCGTGTTTAAGTGCAGAGGTTTTCATATTTAATGATCTAATGGCTTTTCTTTGTCTTAAGTATTTGGGGGGGGGGGACAATCAAAATCCCCATTTGGAGGAGGTCTGCTCTTTGTAACTGCACGTGGGCCTTGTCTGCTAGTGCTGGAAAATGTGGCAGCCCTGAGAGCTTCCTCCCCGTGGATCCCAGGGAGAGCGCAGCGCTGCTCAGCCCTGTCTTGCTTATGATAAAGTAAAAATAGAAAACTCCTGCATTATCTCCTCCCAGCACATGGCTAGGTGGCAGGAGCAAACCTTCCGCTCGCTCAGTGTGCTGATGAAATCTGTTCCTGACAAAATTACCTCTCAACCTCAGTGCCCCTGCGGCAGACGGAGCCAGAGCCCGAAAATGTGATGCACGCTGTACCTGCTCCTCCAGTGCACAGGTGGGCTCAAGGCAGTTTAAATTATTTTGGGTATCTGTTCTTTCTGTGACTGACAGGATTCGACTCGTTGCCTGCAGTTAGTCTTGGGGCAATGGAAAGTGAAGATATTCACGGTTTATATTTGGGGAGACAGCTTTATTTTTTTTGTCAGGTAAACAACAAAACGTTACCTGTGTCTGCTTCGTGCTAAACCCCAAGAGCACAGCCACAGGGGCTCACTGCTTGCTCCCTTTGCTAACAGCTGCTTCTATGGGGTGCTGTACAGCTTACAGCAACCTGTTGAGTGCTGGAGACTAATTTTTTGTTGGGAACTCCTGTGCAGTTTTCTACAGTTTTGCTGCCTTCTGTTCAGATGGATTTATTAGGGAAGGGCCCTCAGAAGCTCTAAGTGTTTAGCAGGGAAGGCTGACGGGAGGAGCTTTTTTTCCTTTGATGAGGTCACTGTCTTTGCTCTGGACAGCCTTTTAAATTAAAAAAAAAAATTAAAATAGAGCTGTGTCTTATCAGTCGAATTGAATAGTGTCATGGCCTTGCTAGTTTAGAAATCTTGTTTAATCTGTGTATTGTTTAATACGTTATTTATATTTTTTACCTTTTGCTAACAGCCCATCACTGATTGCACAACATCAGTATTCTTTCTGTCTCTTTTCCAGCATAGCTTTGTCTCTGCCACTTCCAGTTCCTATTTCCATAGCTATCATACGGATATTTTCAGTGTGACAGTTAAATGTCTGTGCAAACTTGTGCTGTACCAGGATCGTAGGTCATCCGAGCAGCAGGAGGAGAGTCAGGATCACCGAGGCTGGAGCGACCTGTTTCAGCAAGGCTGCTGTATGGCATTTAGTGATGTCCTCCTGGTGGAAAACACCATTGTGAATGCTCTGTAAGGACAAAGATTGACAGCTGCTTGAACTTTTATGGACGCCATGCAAAATGTTATCTGTCAGCATGTATTTAACTGCTCCTCTCCCTCTGAGCAAAGTCGTCTGTGAGACGAGAGAAACGGTCAGTGCTGTGTTTTCCCACTGCGTGTCCCACGCTGGCCTCCCGCTGACTCTCAGTATGTATCTCAGTGCAGGATCTCCTCAAGACTGGACGCCTTTCTCTTCAGTGTCTTTTTAAAAGTTATTATTTATAAACTGTAGCACGGGACTCGGAGTTCTGGGTTAGTCTTCCTACTGGAAAAAAACATAACAAATAAAAAACGTCTCCTGACAACCGTCTGCAGGTCTGAGGCCGTCAGCAGGGGCGTTGTGTAACCTTTGATCATGGCTGGCTGGGACCACCAGCAGCTTCCCTGGCATCGGACCAGGCAGCGTGGATTCTTGAGCAGGAAAGGAAAGCAAACCAAACCAAATACACACAGCTGTCACAAGCGCTGGTCCTGCTGCTCTACTTCCCAGCTCTCTTCCAAAAACATTTGCTGATAGGAGGCTTGTTGGGCTGTCGTAGCCTATTTTGGCTATGTAAAGTCAGGTAACTGTCCCAAGGGTAACTTTGGCTTGTACTCAACACAAATATTACGAGTTTAGATTCAACCTGCTTTCACACACCTTGCTGAAATGGAAACGGGCAGCAGGTTTTTAGCACAGGATGAAAGAACTCCCCTGAAGTACTTTTTAAGTGGGAGGGCTGGAACTTGTCCCTGGACTGGTGTTTTCATCCATCCCCACTGCATTACTGTTGCTTGGGTGCTTTGTTTTGTTTTTGCTGTGAAACACAGCTGGAGCACATCTGGCAGGACTTTTGTGGCCTGTTTGTCTTATGAGTATTCAGTGGTTTTTAATGGACTGGAGAACCAGTGGTATGAAGCAGGGAAAGTTTGGATAAAAGTACGGAATTAAGTTTAAACTCAGTGATCATACCACAGTAGTAGCTTCATTTTGGGGAAAAATAAATACACCTGTAGATTTGTTGGTTGAAATAGCAGGAGCAGAACCCTTAACTAAGTCTGGCTCACATCCCACAGTCAGGCAGGGAGATTTGAGAGGGAAATGGGGATATTGAAGCTTGTCCTTGTGCTTTGTTTTAAAGGTTTGAGTGGCTGGGAAGCAAACCTCTTTGCTGCATGTTCAGCCTCACACTCCCAGACCTCACTCCTGTCTGCCTTCCCCTCTAGCAGTAGAGTCTGATGAAACTCTTTAGCCAAACTTTATTGTAGATGCAAAAACAATCTCTCTTCTCTGTTCAGAGATGTCAGATTAAGTTCTCAATCTCTTCTCAATAGATGCAGGTTGGAAACAGCATGCCCAGGCATTGCCTTCTGCACCAAAACCCTGAGAGAGGCATTGGTCCCAAACAGTCACTGTCCCCTTGGAAGGTGAACCTGCTACCATCCCTCCCTGAGCTCATAGCAGCTGAAGGAATCAAATCCTGGCAGCTAAGGGTGAACAATTGCATTAAAATGCAAGCAGGGGAAACAAATATTCTGAAAGCCTCACCCGTGATCTTGTCAGGAGAGCTGCTCAGCGCAGCCTTGTTAAAACTGGATTCAAAGCTCATCTGTTTCAAGAACCACTGCAGAAAACTCATTTTAGCGCGGTTTGGTTTCAGAGGGTGATGCAAGCTTTCCCTGTGGTGGAACTGCTTTCATAGAAACCAGTCCTGGCAGACGAATCACTTGTGTTCTGTGTCCTTTTGTAGTGTATCTATGTGTGGAACTTATTCCTTAGTAAAGCTCACCGTTCTCCGTTCAGCGCTGAGGTTGGTTTGCTTCTGCAGAAAAGTCCTTGCCCCTGCCACGAGGGAAATCCCCCACGCTCATGTCCTATGCAAGGCAGGGTCCACCTCTCTCACCTCGTCTGCCCGTGACCACAAGAGGGCAAACACGGCAGTGGCTGGGTGCTGGCTGCATCAGCCCGCATCCCGCTGCTCCTGGCTGAAGCAGGGTCTTGCTGCCCAGGCTTCGAGAGCTGCGGCGTCTCCTGTTTCTTCCCCGAGAGGACGTCAAGTCACAGTGCGCCTTGTGTAAGCGCTTTGAATTACCTTATTAACTGATGAACTTTTTTTTTCTGAAAAGGGAAACAAAATGTCCTAAAGTGGGTGGCTTCTGCTTCCCTAGAAATTCAGCTCATTATTCTTTTCCATCTTATGTTTTCAGTTAGGAGGGAAAAATAAAACCAATGCCAAAGTAAGAATTATGGCTGATGCCAGAAGCGGCTTTTGGAACGCAAGTGGTGCTTTCCAAATTCCTTCTGTGATTTGGTACAGGCCTGCTGAAAAACCCCTTGCTTATTTCAGTTGAAGGAACAGTCCAACCTCATTCCCATCACTAGAGAGCACAGAAAGCTTCTATAAATACACTGTGAATTTTCTGTATGCAAATACTGCCGCTGCAGCCCTTGGGAGGAAGAGGAGAGGGGACGGGACAAAGCAGTGCAGTAATATTTATTATCCAACATAATTACATATTTAAAAACACCTCCTCAGACACGAAGCTCCCTTCTGCTCCCTTCCAAAGCAGAAAGTAACAAGGTGCTACTGTTCTTTTTCACAGAGAATTAATCATCTGCATAAAGCTCTGTACCTTTGAAGGAATATTTCTAACACCTTCACAGTGCCTCCCTCAGCAGCACGCCCCATGAGTAACACGCAGCACTTGTCCTATAAGAGCCCCTAGCAGCCAAGAGAACAGGTGGCCCAGGTGGGACTGGGTGAGCAAAGAGCCTCACGTGCCTCAGGCAGGCTGTGGTCCTGGTTCCTATGGCCACCTATGAGATGAGGCTGCTCCCCCAGAGCAGTTCCTTAATGCCACAGTCCTGAAGTTAAACTTACCCTCCTTACAACAAGCAGCTGGAGAAAAAAGCTCCCTGTGTCAGCAGTGCTGTGACCACTCTGCTCCACACGCTGCTCCTTGAATGGAACTTCCCAAACCTGCCACCCATTATGGTAAGCCCAAACAATGACAAGCAATGGCTACAGAAAAACACACCTTGAATAAAAGCTTTAGGGGCTAGAGATCATTCCCAGCCCACCCCTGCTCTGTACTCCTGGCCTCCTGCACAGACACTCCCTGACACCGCAGTGATCTGCAGTGTAAAAAGTTTAATGCAAATAAAATAGCTGCACTGTACCTGAATTACACTGCAGCTCGTCTGGTTTGTTTCAATTGGCGGCTGCTGCACAAAACCTCTGATTCCTTTTGCTCTAGCACAAGGAAAGCATTAAAGGAGTGCTGCTGCAGGGATGGACTGATAAAAAGCCAACCAGCAGAGGACAGATGAAACAAAAAGAAGCCACATTTGAGGTAAGCAGGTAGTTTTGGCAATCAAAACAGACAAAGCAAAGGGATCCTACTTTGAGTGGCCCCTGGGGAGCAGGGCAACACTTTGGGTCCCTGCTGCACTCTAAAAACACATCAACATCGCTCTGGATAAAAGCAGCTGGCCAGAAAGAGCTGCTGGAGGACATTAAGGTATCCAGGGCCGTGGTCATGCTGCTTTTGCAGGCTGCTGCAGGAGGTTTCCATTACAAACCTCACTCCACTGGATGTGTCGATTATGAAACCATGAAAAAAAACAGGAGCTTATTTTTAAAAGCTCATCAGGCTTATTAGCATATGAGCTGAGCCTTCCTGAAGCTACAGCTTCTTTGGGCTGAAAGTGCTGCACTTTCTGCTTGGAAAAGCAAAATCCCAAGTCCCACAGCAGCACAACTCTATGCAGAGGGGAGGAAGAGTGAAAACTACACTTACTTAACCCAGTTACTGGTTCCTTATATAAAGCATGACAGGCTCAGCTTAGTTCCCCAGCACAGTTGTTTTGAGGGCCTGTGTCAAGCTCTGGATAAATCCCAGATGCAAAAAACTGACAGGAGCGGAGAAAGGAAGGCTAAGATTTTTCTCTTTGAGAATAAAGACGTTTCTCCAACATCTCAGTAGCACAGGGGCATTAAGATCTCTTGCTCTGCTCACCACGGGGCTACTTTGCCTTCTTGCAGCTCGCAGAACTGAATCTCCTGAAAATCTCACAAGGAGGACATAACTCCGTTCTTCAGAGCACGGCTGCAGCTTTACTGAAAGAAATTCAGCACTGCAGCTGACCATGGCAAGCCTTCTCAGAAAAGATCTTTATTTTCCCCGGAAACCAACCTTTCCCCCATGTTGGGCAATACTAATTCTAAAGGAACAACTCCAATCACAGGAGCACAGGGCTTCACTGAGCCTCATTCACCCTGTTTCTCAGCAAAGAATTTGGAATTTAGGACTGGCTGACTTCTGTGCTGCTGCACACTCCCTGCTGAGCCGCCATCCTCCCCACTCCTGAGGAAGCAAGGTGTGACTGCACTCGCAGCAGCCATGCAGTGTCCTCTGCTGATTGCCTCAGTGACTCCCGGGACCAGGCAGAGACCTCGTGCTAAAATCACTGACAGAAACGCCACCTCTACGCTAACTGACAGCGGGATGAAGCCACTCCAGGTCACAGGAGGCCGGGTCCCCTGCCCCGCAGGTCAGGCCCACGCCTGCCCATCCTACTCTGCGGCCTGACGGCTCTTGTGCTTCTCCTGCCGCTGCTCCTCGGCCTCTGCTGGCGCTGAGGTCACCTCTGGGCCTGGCTGTGGGCCTGGCTCTGGTTCCAGGGGCAGTGAGGGAAGCTTTGCTCCGGCACCTGGGGAGAGAAGTGAAAGGATGATTGCATATGTTCTGTGCGTTCTTTGGCACCTCTGAGCAGCGTGGAGACACAAAACAACTGCAGCTCTTCTTTATTCTGATTTCTTCTGCCTAGCATGAAATTTATCAGCAGCACTCAGCTCTTCTGCAACATACCCAGCCAGAGACATGACAGTAGTTGGAACTCTGCTGAAAAGAAGCTGAGGGAGTTTCTCATTCAGCTGGGCTGCCACAAGAAGTCAGCAGAAACTCAGGAGTTAACTCAAACTTTGGTAGGGAAAATAGTTCCACTGCATCTGGTTTGTACTCAGACTGTAACCAAAGCCACAGTGCAGTTCTCAGCTCACAGTTTTAGCAATCTCAGGGAGAGCTTCCCAGCGGTTAGCAGCTCCTCACAGAACAAAATCAGAGCAGGACACCACCACACCAGAGTTGTTTCTACACTTATATCTAAGCTGACAGCTAATCTTACGGGCCTTTTGGGTAACCCCTGAATTTCCACATTTTTATTTTTCAGCTTCCATGGAAATGGAAGAGAAATGGAGCAGGTCCTCAGGGGTGCCACAGAAATGGCCTGGATTACACAACCTTCCTCCTGTGCCACAAACCACAGGAAACAAAACACAGAGAGACAGAACATCGCTGCAGTAAGCAGTGTCTCCACTGCACTGCTCCTGGGAAGCTGAGGGGTGAGAGGAGGTCAGGATGAAAGCGATGGCTCAGGAGATGCTCCCACACAGCAAGCTGCAGCACATACAGCTATCAGCCTAAGCCTTATAAGGCTGAAGGGAGCTCTGTGTAAGTAAGTAAATACCTCCCTAAACACATGCCATAACCAAAGGGAGAGAGGTTTCTCTTCTCCTTTCCCATGGTTTCACTTCACAGCAATGCAAAAGAGAGGTACCTGATGGAAGCTGCATGCTTTTCCCATAGCCAGCAGCTGAGGACATGGCTTGACCCAAGGCCTGGTTGGAGCCCAATGGCTTCCCTGACGGAGCAGCTCGCTGCTTGGATTTAGACTCTTTAGCAGGCCTCGTCCAGACTTGGCTCTCCCCGACCTGCAGGGCAGTTCCCATCTTTTGGGCAACCTCCACCATCTTCTCAAACAAAACAAAAAGAAAAGACCCTCATAGACAGGGACACTTCAGACAACAATGAAGTCAACAGAGAAAAAGAGCTGTGCGGGGCTGGCAACTGCCTTGGTGCTCGAGGGAAACATCTCCACTAATTCATTCTCTTAATTAAGAGGGAATCTTGTCTTGCTGCGTATTGATTGAAGAACTGGGCTTCAAAGAGCAGAAATGAAGCACGCAGCTCGCAGCAGGTGACTGCTCTACTTAGAGCAGTCTTAGAAAATCTCATAAGCAGAATTTTTCCTAATAATTGGACTCAAAAGTCAAACTTCCCCCTTGTTTGTTGCCAGCCTTAATGTGGCCATTTAGTTCCCGCTGACAACTCTCAAGCACATACCTCGGGGTCAAAATCCAGAGTGCTGCTCTCCTTCAGTGCAACGACCTTCTTCTCCATCTCCTGGTACTGGCAGAGGGCCCCCTGCTTGTCGCCGTGGTTATACAGCAGCACGGCATAGTTCAGGTTGACAAGGGGATTGCACCTGCAGCACACACAGCACGTTTGTGTTCACTGTGGGAGGAGAGGTGATCTCTCTGCTGGTTACCTCGGGTTACCCACAGTTCTGCTGGTTGGTGGGAGAGCGCTCGGGGTGGGTCAGCTCAGCAGGAGCACCTCACTGATGACATTCTACAGGCTGACACACTACAGAACACACTGTTTACAATTCATTTTCCCTGCCTCCTCTCACTCCCTCCCCAGTAAAATGTAAAAGTGCGCGTGCTGCCGTAGGGGAACATCCAGAAAAGCAGAACGCACAGGTACTGTCTGACACAGAAAAATGCAAGGCGGGCACAGGCTCTGCCCCAGGAGCTCCTGCTCTCTCACCCAGGCTCAGCCCTGGAAAAGCAGAGGCCGCCTGTGGCCAGACCGAGGCGCAGACGTGCACCTCTGCACACAGGAGAGTAAGGGCCGCTTTGTGCGTTTTGCTCAAGAAACACGAGCGAGGGACTGCTGCCCTCTCCTGGAGCACGGCTGGGACAGCTGGAGCCGTGCAGGTCTGTGGCACCGCGCCTCCTTGGGGAAAGGCGCAGGAGAGCAGGCTGCTGCTACCGCTCAATAAATAGCAAGTGTCATCTGCAGGCCAGGGCCATCCATCCTCACTAAGTTATATGACGGGGCTGCAAGGAAGAGACCATTAGAGAAACCTGATAGCATTCATAACCATTGGATTTCCTTTAGCGGAGAAATTGGAACACTGATCCTGCAATAAAAACAAAACACATCCGGGCCAGGCAGTTCCTGACCTGCCAGGGAAGGAAGCCTGTGGGGACAGGGATTCAGCCATTAAGTAACTGGCACGTCAGTAAGCAAGTTACTGACACGTAACTGGCAAGGCATGTCAGCTGAACGAGGCCTTACAGTCTCTGGATGTTCCTCCCAGCAGCGACTAGCAGCTGGGGCTCATTTTTGCTTTGATTGGGTTTGATTTTCCCAGTAAAACTGAAGCTGTAGCATCTTGCTTCTGCCAAATCCCTAGGCAAAGTAGTGGAGCTACATTTCTATTCCTTCTCTCTGATCAAAGCGCAGAAACCCACAACTTTGTCTGAGCAATCTTCAGATCCTGCACCCCCTGCTAGGCTGACCAGGAAAACCAGGCAGAGAAGTCAACTGGACGTTGGTCAGTAATTTTGGTAGGAAGGGTCGATGCATAACTGCAAAATGCTCTCACACTGCAATGCATTTGCAAATGTCTGACGATGGCTCGTACAGGTTCAGTTACGTCTGAGCAGCCTCAGAGGACTGACATTTAGAATGGATGCAGCAGTAACATTTAGATCTACTCTGCAATTGCGTCGATGCATAACTCATGCAGAACCTCAGTACCAGATGGATGCTCTGTCCTGCATGCAAGCCATGCAATTCTCAACAAAAATCTCAGAGTACTTACAAAGAGAACTGCACTACGGCGTCCAATGCTAATTTCTGAAACCTGATGCTTGTTTTAATGGGCTTGGAAACTTCCAGAACCCTTTAGTTCCAGAATTAAGCCTGGTGTGGACTAGGCTGGAGGGGAAGGGAGCAGTATTCCTTTAAACACACCAATACATGCCACCTCATGGTGACTGCAGATGGAAAGAGCCTGCCCTGCAGCTCTGCTGCCAGCACACAAACTGCCGGGCTCAGGAGCACTGCGCTGGCTGCTCCAAAAGCATGCCAATATTTGCAGTAAGCTGGGGAGGAGCATCACCTAATAGTTAATATCTGAAAGGTAAAACATGAGAGGTAAAACAAAAGAAAAAGCAGACCCAGGCAGCTAAAACTATTCATAGATTTGAGACAAAACTGTGTTTTTCTTCTGCTTGAAACGATGGCAATGACCATCTTTAATACTGAAAGGCTCATTTTAACATTTCTGAAAGCAGGTGCTCTGACCTTAATAGCTAGATTCCCAATACTGACATTGCTTGTAAAGCAGAGGAGGAAGGGCTGCACCACACTCCCTTTTATATGCTTTGTATTGGTTTCTTCCTCCCATTTTTTCCAGCTAAAATCTTCCCTCTGCCCAGTTCAGAAAGGCTTTATCCCAAAAGTCTCTCGGTGCTCTGTGCAGTGCTCAAGCTCAGTTACAAAATATTCTGGGATGAATGGTTTACTCAATCTGCTCCATATTCCCCGGAAGAAAGACTGGAATCCAAAGCCATCATCTCTTGACTCACTAAATAAACAGCAAAATAAAAACCGGCTTTGGTTTGGTCTCAAATTTTCTTTCATTTCTCAGAACTGAATGAAAAAAGAAGGTTTTAAAGCTGCTTTGCACTGCTTCTGGAACAAAAATGTTTCCTTGGTGCAAACTTATCAGAGGAGGGAGGGATAAAGCACGTGAAGGAAATCAGGTGCAGGAAGGAAAAGCAACGTGATCAACTGACCAATATGATTAAGACTTACCTGTCCAGTGCCACAGCTTGCTCATAGGAACGTTTTGCATTCTCAATGTCTTCAAGGTTTGTCAGAGCAACTGTACCAAAGGAAAACATACAGAAGGTGTGATGCTTCACAAGGACTTCACTTTTAGGATAATACTCAATGTTATTTGTTCACAAGTACAACTTGTGTCCAATACTTGTTTACTTCAGCCCAAGCTTTCCCACTGAAACACGTTGATCTCCCAGGCTGGCTACACACCAGAGCCTGGCAACAGTACTTCATTACCTGCAAGGAGCATATACAGCTCTCCCATCTTGGGCTGGAAGTTGATGGCAGCACTGAGGAAGTGGAAAGCAGATGCGTACTGCTGCATTGTGAGGTGGACTAAGCCCAAATTGTACAGAATCTTCCAGTCAAAAGGAGCCAGGTAGTTCGCCCGCTTCAAGCAACTGATAGCCTGCAGCAAAGGAAGAGGTGTGCTGCACAGCAGTGCACCCAGAGAGACCTCCCGTCTGCCCCAGCAGGGCTCTTGGTTCATACAGGTGAAAGGAGAAAGGAAAGCACACTCACAGCGACGTATTTCTTCTTGCCAAAGAAGCACATCCCAATGTTGTTCCACAAGGGAGGGCTTTCAGGCATGCTGCTGGCCACTGCCCTGTATTTGGACAGGGCAACGTCATAATCTCCATGGGCCTGCATCATGCTGCCAGCTGCCAACGTAGCCTTCAGGAGGAGAGAGACCAGCTGAGGGCGTGCACTTCCCCAAGCACAACAAGAAGGCAAGGGGACAGAGCTCCTAAACTAAAGCCATCTCAAGAGGAGCTCTTCCACATGTTTCCTTCTGGGAGCTGCCGAGAGCAACAGCGGGGGGCTCTAGAATCTCTGAGCACAAAGTGAAGTCAGGGCAAGGAGGGACTCAGGCCCACTTCTTGCCTTATCCCAATCATAAGTGCCTCAGAAACACTACAGTGTGAGAAGTGCTCAGTATGGTATGGTACGGTACGTAGCAGGGTATGTTGTGGGCTGCAGGGTGCCTTTGGAGCCTGAGTCTGTGAGAAGATCTATGCACTCCGTTCCATTTCACCAACAAGTACAGACAGAAATGGGGCTGGTGTAACTTAACAGGAGAGTTTAAAAAAAAAAAAAAAAAAAAAAAAGCAAGCAAAGCTAGCCTAGTTCACACTGACTGGATGATACTGCAAATTAATGGAAATATGCATGGAGGGGAAGGCAAGTGATTGCAACACACTATATTTAAACCACACTAAGCTGGCTGAGCGATTTATAGTACACTACAGTGACAAGTAAAATTTGTAAGTGTAAAGGTGTTTTCACAATAGCATTTGGCTTGTATTCATGCATCAGCTGTCAACCACACGTTTCCATACTATACACTGCTAACGTCCTACAGGAGAACGAGGCACAGAGAAATACAGCATGTCCAAAAAGGGAAGCACTTTCACAGCCAGCAATGATACCTAGATGCCAAGCTCGGCTTTCCAGACCAGAGCCAAGGAAAAGTCACACCTGTATTCAACAGCTGGAAGCACAGACAGATTAACAGCAGATGGGAAGACACTACAGCGGTTCATTTCCACTCCTGATACCTTGTAGTTGCCCTGGTCATAAGTGAGTGCCTTTCCAAGGTGTTCAAAAGCCTTCTGGTAATCGCCAAGCTGGGAAAAGAAGCAAGGATGAGAAGTGCAGCAATAAGGGCTTCAGAAAGAGAACACACTTTCTGGACACCAGAATTCCTGGTTCAATTAAAACAAGGACTCAGAAAAGTGAATTTTACAGCGCTTCCGATTATCAAACAAGAAGGTGTGTGTGTCGTTAAGTAATGTACTAAATAAATGCTAACCATGGATTTTGCTGAGCAGGATTCACTGTTCTGAGCAAAACAAAGGTTTCTGCAGTGTCTGTGCTCTGACATTTCTATACGGTGAACTCAAGTTAATGTTCCTCTGCTCCTTTGCCTCTGCCATAAAACAAATTGCTGCTCTGCAAATCCTCACCACAGTGCCCCCAAGGGCCCCTGGCACTCCTCACATGGAAAGAAGTCTCCCTTCTTTTCCTCTATGGTGCACTGGTGCTAACCATTTCATGGCTGCTTTTGTAGCAGATTAACTTGCTGGACCACAGCTCCAGCAGCAAGGTAATGACTGTACTTGGAGGATTTATAACAGAATGAAGGCAGCTGCCAAACAGAATTCCTGCTCTGGCTCAGATCCAGGAAATCAGCTTGCTGTTAGCAGCAAAAAGAAAAAGGAAGACACGGAAAAGCAAACTGTCGTGTGAAATACAGAAGTGTGTGCAAGTCAGCTGAGGACAGACAGAAATTAACTCATCATTTTTCAAATAAATAAGTTCACACAATAACTAGTTAGCAGTTTTCAGTACCTGCAAGTAAATTAACCCCAGTTTCGTAAGGAGCTCCGTATTTTCTGGAGAAAATCTGAAATACAAAAGCCAGAGAGCTGCACTGTTTATTGGCCCCTCTAGAACAAGGTAAAAACAGAATCACTTTGCTACATTCCACTAGTAGTACACCAGGAAATTAACCATTAAACCCAAATACTACAGCAGTTACCATCACAGAGACCAACAGTACATCCAAGCTTCCAAAATGCCTTATGGATGTTAATGGGAAGTGAAGGTAGCTCTGTGAAACAGACCTGGTGGCACAATAAGATAACGTGGCTTTATTAATCTCCACAGTGAGCCTGCATCAGTGACCTGGAAATAGAAAATGGGATTTCCCATCGCCCCTCATAAACCATCCTGTAAATCCACTGCCAGCTTCTCGGGCCACGTGTGAGAGGCAGTCCTCAGTGCTTCTGATGGATTTTACACATTCATCACCACACTTGCAATTCGCCCTGCCATAAGATTCCAAGCTGCTCCCTGCTCACCACAGCCTTGTGCTGCACTGCAACTCACGGTGCTCAGACAGGCACCACCGTGGTGCTTAACACGTCTCTGATGATACACGCTGCTGTTCAGCACAGCAAGGCTTGAGAGGAACAGATCCTTAGCATTTTCAATTACTGCAAGCAACTCCCAAACCCTCATTGCTAGTTTGAGGCAATGTTGTGAATGCTAAATGCAGCGCCACTCCCAGATGGTTTGGATTAAATAAATAGGCTGCAAAGGACAACAATAACAAAAAAGTATAAAAGGGCACCGTACGGTTGTGGCCTCACCTACCCTGCTATCAAACCTTAATCAATCTCAACCTGAGCAAAAGCTGTGCCTGCTGGTACATACCCAGAGAGCAGCTGCTAGCAGCAGGCAAAATGTCATAGGCAGATAAGAAAAGGGAGGGAAAGGGGCACCACAGTAACCAATATAAAGCTGGTAAGATGCTTAGCAAGGATTGTTTACGTAATGAACATTCTAGATTAGTTCAAACATCTACTCAACCCAACATACTGTCAGACAGCAGCCAAAAGCAGGTGTGTAAGGAAACAGCATACAAGAACAGCCAGTACAAACTGTAGATCCTCCTCTGGCTTCTGGCGTGCTCCTGCTTTCCTTTAGTGTTCTGCCTACATTTTAAAAGCACTGCTAAATCAGGCACTCAGGAATGCCCTAAAACAAGACAGATCAGTACTGAGAAATGGTGACAGGCTGGGAGAAACTCACCGTGTACCAGCCCATCTCCTTTCTGCCTACTCACTCTCCTTCAAACGCAAATCACTCTAAGTAAAAACAGCATTCGAAACCCAACAATTGATTTTTGAGAGACAGACAGGGTTAGAGAGACAGCTGGGGTGAAATTTTTTCGGTAGATAAGCCTTTGGGATTTATGAAGTCAGCTTGAGAAGTGTTTGCTCCCAGGCATTTCTGCCCATTTGTTTTCCACTTTTTCTTGGCAGACCTTCAAGCAGCTCCCTTCTTCCCTGACACGCTGTCAGCAGGAGGAGGACTACAGCTGAGAGCAGAGACAGCTGAAGAGCTCAGAAAGTGCTTGCTTTGCACAGAGACACTAGAACCCCCATTAGCTTTTTAATTGTGCCCTCAATTCAAATCTAGGACACCATCAAATTCCTGCTGGCACATGGACAGATAGAAATAAATAAATAAATAAATAAATAAATAAAATAAAATAAAATAAAATAATAAAATAAAAGGTGTGTGTGTATATATATGTATACATTCTTACTCTATTGCTTTCTTATAGACTTCGATGGCTTTCTCAGTCTCCCCCTCCAAGAGGTGAATTTTTCCCAGCATCATGTAAGTCAGATCATGTCTGTTCATCTCCAGGGCATTGTTTAGCTGGTCTCGTGCCTAAACACACAACCACAGAGAATGAAAACATAGTCAGTGATTACAGAGCAAAGCAACAGCCCAAAAGCAATCCACAGCAGCTAGGGAAAGGGAACAGCTAACACCCCCTGAGCTCAGAGAGCCCTGCTAGCAAACTCAACCCAGCTAAGTGTTGAAACAAGTTCTGCATCAGGAACCACCTGCTTTCTGGGATAGAAAAAACCAAGTGGCATACTTGGAGCCAAGAGGAGAGGCAGTGACCTCCCAAGGAAGAGAGGACCAGAGTTCCCGCGTTTGAAGTTGGGAGAGGGAAGCCTCAGATTTGCTAGGTTAATACCTAGGTATCTTACATCTGATTCCTCACTACAGTGCTTACTCCAACAGCAAGCACGGATTGCCAGATCAGCCAGAGGAATCAATCACCTCAGCCGAGGGACCAAAACTCCACTTCAAGTTCTTTACTGGCTACAAAGCATAAGCAGCACTGCCCACACTCCAGCTAGGCCTCTCTGTGTCTTTTACTCCAGGCTTGGTGCAAAAACCAGCTTCAAACACTGAAATAAATCCTGCACATGGAGGGCAGGGAAAGGGGAGTCTGCTTCACCTCCAATACACAAACTCCACAACCCACTGAGTCCTGCCAGAGACACGGGGCAGCAATTGCTCCTTCAGATCAAAGAAATTCTGCATAAGATGCAGCAGTTTGAGCTATATACTGGTGAAGAAGTTGGGGTCTCAACCATCACACTTGTCTTGCTTCCAGAAGATGGAACTGGTATTGCCACAGCTCACAAAACAAGCAGCATTTACATTTACAACTCTGATTTTAAAAGGCTCTGAAACAGAGGCAGCTCTTTGTGGAGCACTGCTGGTTTTCCATCTAGTTTGAAGCAGCTCTTTGAGGTTCCTTGAACACTCTCTTTAAAAACACTCTCTGAAAAGCCCTACTTCAGAAAATGCCTCCTGACCAGCTACAAGGCTAAGCTCAGGTTCACTCTCACCCAAGCTCACAGTTTTTCAGCTGACTCAGTAATTCAACACACAGACAAGAACAGACACAGCTCATGATCTTTTGATTCCAGAGACGAACACTGAAGCAAAAAGCTTCCTTGACACCAACAGTTGCAAAGGATCCACCTCAAAACTACCAGAGTGACACTTCTGGAAGCCCTGTCTCCCATTTGTCAGGTCGGTAAGACGAGCACTTGCATTACCTTGTTGAAATGTTTCAGGTACATGTAGCACACACCCAGGTTGTGGCTGATCTCCTGTACGAAACAACACAAAACCAAATCAGGATGAGGTTTGAGATGCACTACATAACCTACCCCTGACAACAGTCATCGGCCGCCCAGACAGGGGGACCTCTGTACCTGCCCACAAGCTGGCTTTGTCGTTCAAATAAACCTATGAAATCCAGCTGCTTCAGGAACCCACAGAGCTTACATGTGATGGCACACACAAGTCTACAGCCCACTGAGGCTGAAGCACAGAGTGACGGAGGTCTCTTTGGAGAACAAGGAGGAAAGGCTGCTTTCTGACTCATTTCCCAGTGAGATCAGTGAAGCTGACGCCTGCTGCCCTGATAGGTGGCTCCTCACCTACCTGTACACACACAGAGATCTGCACAACACGGCATTCGGCTGAACAGATGATCTTTAAGGTCCCTTCCAACCCAAGAAACAGAAGTCAAGGAGCAGAAGGGCTGAAATCCAGGATCGCAGGCAGTTAAAACGTGTTTGCAACACAGTTGGAAGATCACTTTGGCATCTTAAACACACTGGTGACACTTCAGGGAACCATCACGCCTCTAATTCATTGCCAGCAGTGTCACTGCCAAGCTACTTGTCATCTTCCTCACCCTGGCACGTCCTGGGGAGCTGAAAAGCAGGGTCCACAATTCCTCGTTTCTATTCTGGTAAGCTTCACCAGTTTAGACAGACTTGACCTTTGATAGGAAACTCTCTTATTTACCCATTAATTCATGCAGAACACTTGCCTCAGTGCAGTCTCTCCATCTGTGGAGAGCAGTAAGGAATCAAAGAGCCGCTCCCTGTTACTGCGGCTTGTAGAACAGAACAGCACAAGGGAAGAGCACAGGCTGGCCCTACTGCCAGTCCGAGCCAGCTGCAGGAAGTAACTGATCAAAACTCCCCCTGAAGGCTGCCTGCTGCAGCTGCGAATAAAGCTATAGCCATGCCAAGCACATACTGCAGGCAGCCAGGCCAGCTAAGAGAAGACAGACTTCACAGAAAATCCATGGCAAGGTTTCCAAGTTGACTGGCACAGAATGAGTTGACAAGAAGAATAATACCAAATGTATCCTTGTAGCAAGCCTCAGTTGTAGACCTGCTGAGCACCAGAAGTCAGCAAGAGCCTGATGTCTTAAGAAATAAGATCACACCTCGCAAGCCTGTCTCAGAAACACTTCTGCGGGCAAAAGTCACCTGCAAAAGGCTGCCCACAACTAACTGAAGCCACGTCCCCTCTCTTCTCACCACCTGTCACACACTTCCCTCTGCAGTGTTCTTTCTTCATGTTTTTTTTTCCCTCCTGAAAGAGCTAATTTAATTATTGCTCCTGTAGTTATCAGCCTACATTTTTTTCAAAGCAGGTAATGCTTGGTAGATAAGAAGTAACTCTTGGCTAACTTGAGGGTAATCTTTTTCATTTTTTGCATTATGAAAGGATTCCCAATTACTAAAGTAAGTTCTAATGCTGAGTGTATAATGTTAAGGAAGGGGAGCATTTTCCATCCCTTCCTGAAGGTAATTCAGCTCTTTATACTATAAATGGCTATGTTAATACTGATAGCAAGGTTCAAACACGTTGCTTGATCGTCTGTTTGTGCCCCAGGACAAGGTGTGGGATGTGTAGGTTGAAATCTGCAGGCTGAAACCCTCAAACCAGAGGGTGCAGAGCCTGAGTGCTCAAGAACCCATGCTAAAAGGTGATGCCTCTTGGCCCTGCAGCTCCTCCTCTGCTGACACTGCAGGCAACATCAGCTTATCTCTGCCTGGAATGCATCCGCAGCTGTTTTCAGAAAAATGGAGAACCATCTGCACTGTGCAGCAACCTGCAAAGCAACAAAACACTTACCCAGTCCTTTTCATCAAGTTTAGCTGCTTCGTTGTACACCTCAATGGCAGCCTTGTGTTTCCCCAGAAGAAACCTGTGAAAGCAATTCCATTTCTACTTTTTTCCTGCTTTGAAACCCTGCTGTGTGACCACCGCCACCTCTGCCACTGAGAAATGATGCTATTTGCTAGTTCTCCAGAGACTGGAGTGAGAAACCCTGAGAATTTTGTAGTCTGAGCAATAAGTCAGCACTGCTCCCTTTCAGAGCCAAGGTCATCAATTCTGCACTCCGTTACGTGACTGGAGATGCAAGGAATGAATCCGCAAGCTCCGTCATCTGCCTTTGTCTCAAAGGGAAAACACAGGTGATCAAAAGCAAACAGGACACTCAGAGACAGAAAGGGGTCTGCAGGGCAAGTTTACACAGCTCCAGGCAGCACCTTTAGCTCTGGATCTGGAAATTGGTGTGCTATTTATCTTGCTTAAAGCACAAATGAAAAAAATCAAATAAAATACAACAATAGCAGCCAGGCAGATTACAGAGATTGTGCTTTAAAGGGTGGCCCACGCTCCTGGAAAGCAACTCAAGTGTTGATGAGGAGGAAGCATGCTTGGAATTAAGCAGCCAGGGATTCTGCTTGATGCCTGGGAGAAGAACAAAACGTGGAAGGTCCTGGGTGGCACATCAAAGTGAAACAATCAAACACCACTCACAGCGATCGCGCCACCTGCTTCAGGTTGTCAGCACTTCGAGGGTTCAGAATGGAACATGTCTGAAACAGTTCAAGAGATTCTTGAATTTTCCCCTCCAAGCGAAATATCAAAGCTGTAAGAAAACATATACCAGGCAAATCAGCCCATTATCAGCAGGAGAAGTGTCTCTGACAGCAGGGAAAGAACAGGGAGTACAGATACATTACAACAACGCCCATTTGGTCCTTCCCCTCTCGCAGCAACTTGAGGCAGAAGGAAAACGCACACATAGGACTCATGCTTGCTTGGAAACATTTCTGTTCTCTATGGTTCAGGCATCTTAAAACCCTGGCCAACTGTTCGTTAAGATGCAGTCTGGATCGCTCTCCTCCTAATTCTACAGGCTGCAATATGTCCTTGGACAAAAATTCTCCCTTTTCTCCCACCCCAGGCAACTGCTGGGAAGACACACAGCCCTCTGAACTGCAAGGCCAAGTTCTGGGGACACCTCTGGGAGGACAGAGGGTGGACAGGAAGTGGAAGATGCTCATAGAGTTAAGATGAGTCACCCAAGGACATCGCTTTAGCAGAAAACAAACGTCTGTAACACACTGCACAGCACACAGCAAAACACAACCCAATGGAAGAGCAGTGCATCGATGGCCAAGAGCCCACAGCCCGAGGAGGAGCTGATGACAAACTCACCAATGCAGAGAAAACAGAAAATCTGATCTGTCCATTACAAAAAGGGCCAGACATATTTACAGAGGAATTTTATAATTGTTCTTTCCATTTGTCCCCAAGTGCTCTCTCTATCTTGTATCACAAGTAACTGGCTTTAGCCAAAGGAAGACTTTCAGAGGCCTCACGTGTGCAGCACCTTGAACGTAGACAGCATATTCACACCTCCCATGGGACTCCTGGAGCTGCTCTTTGATGACAGCCTGAAACAAAGAAGTGCAAATGTATATGGCAAATGTAACCTCAGTCTCTGAAACACCGATTAATCTAACCTTGTGTTTGGAAAAATCAGCTTTAAGATAGAATTTGCAGCTAGTTTTTGCAATATACTGTGAGAAAACAGTACAAAATTGGTAAACTTCCAACATTTTAACAAAGCTAGTGAAAGGGATTTTGTTTCAGTTGCAGAAACTGCAACCACACAAATAACAAAGACACAGGACTGTGTTTGGGACAAGAAGAGTGCAGGTAAAGAGTGCAAACTGGTCAGAGCTTGAGAAGAGCACAGTGCCAACAACACTGCAGGCCTGGCAGTATTTGTCTGCTCATTCCTACTGCTACAGATAATTACATATCACCTGGGGAAAACACTGCAAGAAATCTATGAAGCATCCTCTGCTGATAACAGCACCTACTCTAAGCCCTTTGTGAAGAAATAAATTGAACTGGAGCAACTGTAGCTGAATTAATGGAAGCTGAATGAACTAACGAAGAGAGCATGGGAAAAGAAGGGAAGAAAAATGATGAAAATGTAAATCCTTGTTGTCTGCATCTATAAAGCTGACAGTTTAGGTGTAGTCTGGCTCTATTCCACAGTCACACGTGATCTGAAATTGTAAAAGAAGCCCCAAAAAAGTGATTTCTGGGAGGATGCAAACTGGGACCACAAAGCAAACACACTGCTTCTGCTCTCTGAGCCTCCTCTCTGAGCTCCAGTGTAGAAGAGACAAAGGGGGAAAGGATTCCCAGGCTAGCAATAGCCCGCTGTTCATCTGGCGTGCTCTGTACCTCCATCCCCTGCCTCTGAAAACAAGAAGGGAAACTGAACCTCAAATGCAGCACATAGAAGGAAAGCAGGGCAAAGGCAAGGAGAGTATTTATTGAGCAGCCTCCATCATAAAAAAAGAATTAAACAGAGGAAGGAAAAGAAGCAGCCAGGTGCTTTTCCCCTGGGGTCTGCACCTACCCATCTCCTGGCCAGAGCCCTCCACACGCCTGCATTCTGGTCTTCACCAAGCACTCTGCTATCAGACACTCGGCTTGGACGCAAGTGAGCATCTCCTGAAGGCAGACAGACTACATTGCTCCATCAGCACAAATGCAGTCTCTCAGAGCAAGAGAGGGCAATAGAGAGCTGCCTTCCAGAGGGAGTTGATTAATTCTTCAAACCCTAAAAATCCCACAGCAAAAGGCCTGAAGCTGAGAAGGATGATCTGTAATCCCAGCGTTTCCTCCCAGCTTTATTTAACCGGCTGTCAGAATTCAGATGCGTTGGCAGGAGACCAACCAGCATGAGCGATTTTAATTAATTAAAAGCATCTGGTAATTTTAATAATCTTTCCCTCACACATAACAGAAGATTATTTCTGTTGTAAAAAATACAGCTAGGAGGAAGAACTGAGGCTGTGAGCAGAACACACGGCTCATTAGCTTTGCATGTGAAGCTGAGTGATGATGATTGCTCAGCAGGGCCGGTCCCCACACTCTCCAACATCACCCCACAAATCCTGCATCCCCGTCTGCATAGCAAGGGGTGCTGCATCCTCATCCTGGAGGATATCTGCTTTGCATCATGCTGGGCAGCAGAATCAAGCAGCCCGTTATCAATGTGCCGCTGTAATAAGCAGCAAAAGAAGTTTGTCAGAAGTTTGGCAACACCAGAGCACACAGAGTGGCACTGTAAGGGTTAAAACCAATTCAACCCGTTAGATTTTGGGGAGACGATGCTAGCAAACAAACACTATTTCCTAGGTGCTTTACATCACTGGCAAACAGGGGAGCTAGAGATGATGCCTCTGAAAGCAGTGAATGGAAAAAAGGGGCTAACAGTAAAAAATTAACACAGATCACTCATTTCTTACCTGAGTCTTAAAAGAAAACTAACAGACCTGAGTGAACGCCCAAACTGTTTTGGAGTTGTAAGTTTACAGCAACGTCAGGCATTGGAGATGACAAGACTTTCTTAAGCCCTGCGCACGCACAAAAGCACTTTGGGCGTCCTGCTCAGATCTGCGACCCACAGAACAGCAGCGAGAGCTGGAGGCCCCAGAGGGCAGCTCAGCCCATCCAAGAGCAGACTGCCTTTGGGACACAGCCACCTCTGAAGAGCGCAGAAGGATCCAGCATGTTCTTAACTTCTCTGGGACAAATCCAGGCCTCCGAGCACGCGTGCATCGTGTCTGGGCAGAGGGATGGAAGGTGACCCAGCCAGCTGTGGTCTGGTGCCAAAACCTCCATTTTTCCCCATATTTTGCTTCCTTTGGTGACTGATGGAGACTTGGAGAAGGCAGTGTTCCCTTTGGAGCATCCACATGGCTGTTTTCCCTGTTCCCCTGAGCTGGACACTTTTTTTTGCACGCCACAGTCTTACATCCCATCATGGCAACAGTACACATACAAAACAGGGGACCAAACAGAAACAGAAAAGGACAGCAACTTCCTATTTAGATTACCAATCCAGCTTTTGTTTATAGCTATTTAAACCAAGATCTGAGAGGAAATGGCTCTGCTGATGATGCAGCCTTCCAGCTTCATTAATTAAGCTAAATGCTTTTCTTCTGGCCTACCACTTTCTTAAGCACCCCCAAGAGCTTTCCAACAGAGAGAGGGACAAGTCCTGGCCAATCCTAGTGTTTCAGGAGGAAAAAAGTATGTTCAGATCCACTTTGCACATTAGGAAAACAAACAGAGCACTCCTACACCCTCCTCCCACCCACTGGCACATCACCTTCAATGCCTTGTGTTCTTGTCAGGAAAACACAACATTTAATAATCTCACCATTTCCGTAGCCCATTTATTGTTGCAATCCCAAATCAAACAACTCCATTCAAGCTACACCCTAAACCTAGGAGAAATCAAAGGGTGCAGTGCTGTACCATGCAAAATGGAAGAATTTCGTTCTAGGATAGCCAAGATGTATTTTAGAGTTGGTAGAAATGTACCCTTGAGAGACCTGCACTAGAGCTGCCTTATAATCAGTTTGGAGGACACCACTCACCTCCTGGAACAAGGAAAGTTTGCAGATCTTTCATTCTTACCGCTTCCAAACCTATCATCAACAGCTCATGGACAGCTCTAGAGAAATGCACATATGAATTCTGAGCACAGCTGAGGAATGAGGAAAATTAAAGCCTTGTCTGAGCTGTTTCTCTCTTAGTCACCTTAGTCCAAGAGAAGTAAGGAGAGGGGGTGGTTAGGACAGCCTTAGTTCAATCTACGGATGTTATTTTGAAGACATACAGATTAATGGGATAGGAGAGGACCCTAGGGCCCTTTGTTGGCTCACCAGGTGACCTGGGACACCCATCACAGCACAGCTGGCTCTGTCCTGGCATGAAAACTGCCATTTCCTAACAGCAGTAAAAATCCTTTCCAGTGCAAAGTCTCAGAAGCAACTCCTACCTTGCACTCGTTGTACTCTCTGCGAACGTACAGCAGATAGATGAACCAGTTCCTCCTCTCTAGCATGGGTATCTCCGGCACTGCAGAGATACAATATTAGCAGAACACACAAAATCAGATTAATCAGCAGAGAATGAGAGCAATTCTGAACTGCCTGGTCTGCAAGTGCAATGCAACTAATTTGAAAACAGCAATTGCACCCATCAGCACAATTGACATCCTGACTTGAAGCCTGCAGTCTGGACACACAACCAGCGCCCAGCTGCATTCCATTTCTCAAAATGATGGGTAAAATGCACTGCATGAGACAGAGGCATCAGGGCCCTCAGCTGAAAACAAAAATCTACCACCTCTAAAGGCTCAAGGCATCCGCTCCTCCTGGGGCAGTTATGGGAGCCAATTGCACCAAGCAGCAGCACGTTGACTAATTTCAATTTAACACTCATGCTGATTGGATGAGATTGGTTCCAAACTGGTACACAAGCAGCAGCTTGAGGGGTATGAGTTAGATTGGTACTTTGGAGCTGAGGCAGAAGAACTCCTTAAAAATCAGTTTCTAGGAGAGAATGAGAAGGAAACTGGCAGCACACACAAGAAGAGATGTTGGAGATGCTGCCATTTGCAAGGCGTGAGTAACTTTGAGAGGTCAAACTCAGTTCTTTGAAACTGTGAAGTGACTATGAAACATCACTGAGGCAGCTGAGGCTACTGGCAGAAAGATGCATCTGATGCAGTGGAATAGCATAACCCTCACTCCAGTATTTCAGCCATAAGGAGCTTGCACCAGTAATTATGGCCCAGCACGGCCAGATGTTGCTTATAATACTTACATTGGGTTTAGAAGTTTAACACACTGCTGTGCATTTCATTAAGGCTCAGAATGTATTGCTTCCTACTCACTTCTACAGCTCAGATGCTGGTGACTGCAAGGTAACCATAGCAACTGGCAAAAAAAGCTCGGTGTTTGCAAGTCAATATTATGACACCAGTGCAGAAGGCAACATGAGGCAAAGATTGCTGCAGGAGCTGTGGCCACAGGGCTGGCAGGGCCACCCGACCCCAGCAGCACGCAGACCCACAGCGCTGCGCAAGGAGCTGCAGGCTGAGCTCCCAGCAGCTCAGAGCAGGAGGTGGCATTCCCAAAGGCTCATGGTGCCCACTGCCTGCCTGCAGCACAGGTCGGGATCCTCCTGCACCACGTGGTACCAACCACGGGAGCACACAGAACCGCTCCGACCCCCCTCTGTAAGCACGGACTTCAAAGCAGACATCATAAGCTCTATTTAATTATAAAGATTTTGATTCCAGTCAAAATTAAAGTACACTTTATCCATTTGCACCTACTGTCATAGCTTCAAATTACAACATCCTTTACCACTACAATGAAATCTGTTTCAAATGGAGAACGTTCAAAGGCCCTCCAGACATACATACCCTGTTAGTCTCCAGCCCGAATCCTGGCACAGCGCAGGTCTTGCCAAGAGGTTAAAAAGAAACAGAGCACCATTAACTCTTGCAATAGACAGAAAACCCAGAGGGCCCAGGCCTGCTCCCCAGTGCCCACAGCACAGACAGGCAGAGCCACAGAGCTGTCTTCTGTGCCTGCCGTTCCTTTTTGCTACCGTCCTGCTGCTGAGAAACGATGCAGAAATGGAAAGAAAAGGATAAAATGGGCGCAGACATTTCACAGACACCATCTGCAGAGCCCAGCTGAGGAGCTGTGCTGGAGGTACACCAAGAGAAAGCAAAAACCACCGTGAGATACAGAAGTGAACGGCACCCACATCTGCAGAGATGAAACGGTTCTGCTTCCCCCGGCAATTTGCTGTCTCCAAGGAGAACCACGTGGAGCTGGGAAAACACACAGAGTTCTTCCTCTCGTAAAACTCATTTGGAAATAGCAACACACCTGACTGAGAATACATCAGCCTCCTTTTTTCTTTTTCCCCAAGACAAATTGGGGAAAAAAAGAAAAAAACAAACAAAAAACAGACAAATAAAAAACTCCAATGTCTTTCTGAAAAAGTGCCTACATTACTCTGGAGATACAAGTAATCTGAAGGTCGAGCCCCTGAGCTCGAAAAGAAGAAAACAGCAACGCTTTGACCCTTCCTCTGAAGGAATCTAAGAGAAACATTACGAACCAAACCTGGTGTGAATGCCACAGAGGACACTGAAGAGTGGAAGGACAAAAACTGAGGAAACTGATACATGACTCAACGTTAGAACCTGTCTAATCCCCCCAGAAGGGGCTGTGGGCAGCAAAGCACTGGTAGCTGGGCTTTGTATTCTTTTCAGAGGTGCAAAGAATTAATGCCATTTGTTGACAGATCTCCGCAGAGCCACAGCCAGCTCAATCTGAATTCCTGTTGCACCACAAAAGCAGTGAAATGCTTCTGTTTCATTTATCCCCATCACCTTTGCCCCCCAGCCAGCAGGCAAGGACTGTCCCACCACAAGGGGTCACTGCATTCTCTGAGGACAGTACCCCCCTGCTTGGGAGGAAGAGAAGACGACATCCTGTGCCTTTCTGAAAGGACCCAATTCAACCTTTGCCAGTCCTACTATCTATGCATTTTTTCAAGTTTAACAGTTACCCATGAAACGCCTACAAACAAAACCAGGTGACACACGTCACACAGTTGCAGCATCCCCCAAGCAGCAGCAGAGAAAGACGCAGAGGCAGCGCCCCTCAGTCTCCCAGCAGGGATGATGGGGAACAGCGGCTGCTCCACAGGGCACGCGGCCATTTGCAATCCTACCCTAATTAGGCACTGGAACACAAACAGCCACTCAGAAGCTTTCTGTACAGAGGGAGGTCAGGAGCTTGGGCTCGAGCAGGAGGAGCTGAGTGTGTTCATCACATCCCTCAGGCTGTCTGCAAAGCAATCTTCCACCTCTTCCAATATACGGACCTTCACAAGTTCCTGGTATGTAACTGCTGCAGAGCACACGGAAGCAAACTATTCTTTGCCACTTCTTGCATAGCCCTGGCCCAGCAGGACTATAGGTTAGGAAAGCAGTGGTTTAGACCATTCTAGTGGTGAAATAATGCATTTTCTGAATATCAACCTGCTCTCAGGCCAGACAAAGAAAACACAACAATCCAAGAAGTTGGTAAGTGAGAAGGATTTATAACTTATGTAATTACCTACCTACCTCTGTTTTCTGGCATTACAACAGCCTAGTCTCATTAAGCAATGGTGAAGGGGAGCCAGGCACCAAACACAACTAAGTACCTGAAGGGCTGTGCCAGCTCCTCTGCAGTGTTTCCACTGAGAATCCATCTGATCCCCCCTCTCTCTGTGGCCAGTGATTGATTGCACAACCCACTGCCAACAACGCGATTTTTCTTTCTGACAGGGCAGCCTTAAGGAAGTTGCTGGAGCGGAAACCCCCACAGAACCTGGGGAAGATCATCAGGTTTGTATCAGTGCTGCGCTATCATCACTCTTCACTAGATTCATCCTGTTATGGATTTTCTCAAAGGACTGGAAAGAAATCAAATCAGAGTTATTCTCTCTTGCGAGAACCCCCCTATGAAATGGTACCTTGATATTGGGTAATTATGGCTTAGATATGAACAATCAAAGAGAGGTCTTCGGATTTAATGAAAGGCTTTGAAATTGTTGTAGTGCAGGGAGGGGGTAAGAGCTCAAACAAAGAAATCCGTAGATTCCTACTGTGTTCCAGGGGGAAGGGACTGCTGCCCTGCCAAAACACATAATAACCTACTGCCCAGGCAACACACCAAGCAAGGAGAGGGCAGAACTTCAGAAAAGTGATTTTAAGGAGTATTTGATTACACATTCACCACATGTGTCAGTGTCCGGATACAGTGCAGTCAGCACCAGGGATGTGGGAAGACTGCCCTACTGTGTCCTGACTCTGCCACTCCCAAAACTTAGATGCTGTGAAGCCAAACCCTCCAGCCTTGAGAAAGTACACAGCTACTTCCAAACCAAATAAGCACAGATGCAACACCCCACGTCTCTTACTAATGTAGCATTTTGCTACTAGCAGGAAAAAAAAGTAGTCAAGTGCACCTTGCTCACAGAAAGAAGCCAAGAGGAAGCTTGGCTGCAGTGAGAGCAGTGTTATCTCCCCTCATCAGAGAGGGCAAGGCTGGCACTAACATCCACAAGCAGGATTGAGCTCGTTGATTCGAGGTTCATTTCCCATTCTACAGCATCCCTCAACTCCCAGCTCAGCCTCCTCGAGGCCCTGGCTGACACCATTACCAGGGTTACAGTCACTCTGAGTTCGGGAAGGATTGCTGCTGGGGATGGCTGTGGTTGCAATCCAAAATGAAGCTCGGTGTTTTCACAACTGTGTTTAATTAAATGCTGATAGGAAGGGAAAGGCAGAGAGGAAACCAGCTGTGCACTTCTCCCTTTTGCCTTGAGCAGCACAGGCTGCCGGTGCGAGGCAAAGGGTGAAAACTGGTGGGAGAGAGGTGATGAGCATCTTCAAGGAAAAATAATACTAAAATAAAAAGGAACAAATCCAAACAGCTACTATGAATCAAGCACCGCTGCCATGGAACTGCATTTTCCAAAGTAAGATAGAAATTAGAGAGAAAGGAAGCCCTCAGTGAAGGATTTTACATTTAAGAACAGACTGCTTTGATAGCAGTGAAGCACCCTACAGGTTCCTCGCTGGGCTGGTGCACAGGCACATGCAGTAAGAAATCCTCCTCCTCTCTCAGGCACCCAAAGGCTTCAATTGAGCTCCTGGTGATGGAAAATACATTACAGCTTTGAGTTGAAACTGATAGAGGAACGTTGCCCTTCCCACACCCAGCCCAGCTCTGCAGTTTGAAACCAGCATAAATGCAGATCAAATGCACCCTGAGCTCAGGAACGATGAAAATGGCTCAGAAAATCACGGCCCAAGGGCGGCTTTGCACCGAGTGACACTCGTATGTGAGGCTGCAGGTGTCTGTGCACACAAATACCTGCAAAATGCACACGCACGACAGAAACACGGAGAGAGCCTTCTGCAACCCTCTCCTGGCATCGCCGCGCCGTTCCTGTTGAATCCTCTGTTTCCCTTTTGCAAATTGCTGCCAGAACACCTT